ATTCACTTTATTCATTCGTGTAAAGGCCTGCACCACTCGGGAGAATTCGGAACTGCAACAGTTGGAAAGGCCGTTTCCCTACGACTTTGATGCCCATATGAGGCAGATAAATAACACCAAGAATGAGGAACTTATGTCCAGCGATAAAATCCTGTTAACATGCTAACAGACAGAAAGAACTGATAGGGAGACAAAAGGCTGAATATTTATCTGATGGTAGATTTTTTTTTTTATGTGCACATGCTCTAAAGTCAAACTGGTAACAAATCAGTCACATCATAGATGATTCATTGGAGTTTTTGCAGGAGAGTATACACCGTTTTTCAAAAAGAGTATACCGGGTATATCAGCACAAAGATTTCAATCAAAAGTGTGCTGAAGTGGTTGTGTCACATCTGATTCAATTTTGACTTTCTCAGCAAGGATGAAATAGCCCTGTATTCTGTTGGTTGATAACTAGCTGGTGGTGTAGGACAAACTAATACTCTAGCTGTACCCTCAACTCCCGAAACCAGAAGGTTCTAGACACTGAAAAACCTTTTATTTTTACTCTTTGATATCTAATCAAGCTGATTCCAATTCCCTTTTTAGTTCAGTTAGGATAAGCAACATTTCTCTGTCTGCTGAAACTTATGGAGAAAATCTTCTGATTCTGTTTTTTTTTTGTGTGTCTCGTTTGGTATTTTCATTTCTCAACACTTTTGGATTATTTAAATAATTCAGAGCTCTTTTAAAAGTTTTTACTGTGTTATTCAGGACTAACTCAGGGAATGTCCCTGATTATGCTTCTTATGTTGACTCCTAATGCTTTTAAAGTGGTAAAACACCAGCTGGTGTTGAGAACCAGCATTATAGGGTCTATTGTTGAGGTACTCCAATCACATCGAACACAGAGATGTTCTCTGTCCAGACGAATGGGCACTCTTTAGCCTCAGCCACACTTGTATTTATAGTTCCTCCATGCTATATTCTAGGTCTGTACTACTCTAATTGATTATAAGGCCACTTTAAATTATCCCTTCCTAAAATCATATTTATTTTCACTGTTGTGCAATAAAAATCATAACATAGAAATCTCAATTACTCTGTATTATATTAATGGGAATAAAATTGATATTTCATTTGATGAATAACAACTGCATCTTAAATACTTTTCCATTGCCCCTGGCTCCTAATCTAGTCGTCTGTGTAAAACCTTGGTTTTGAGAAAAAATTGACAATAACATTAAAGTTAAAACAGCCATTTTTAAACTGAAATCAGTCCCTTTTCTTATTGCTTGTACAAAACACTGCAGCTTAACTTATTGTGGGAGGGACATAGTGCATCCATCCATCCATCCATCCATCTTCTTCCGCTTATCTGGGGTCGGGTCGTGAGGGTAGCAGCTTCAGTAGGGAGGCCTTGACGTCCCTCTCCCCAGCCACTTTGGCCAGCTCCACCGGGGGAATCCCAAGGCTCTCCCAGACCAGCCGTGAAACATAGTCCCTTCAGCATGTCCTGGGTCTCCCCCTGGACCTCCTCCTGGAGGGAAGTGCCTGGAACACCTCACCAGGGAGGCGTCCGGGAGGCATCCTAACCAGATGCACGAGCCACCTCAACTGGCTACCCTCAATGTGCATTAAAATAGTCTAATTTAATTAGCTTTTCTTTTTGACACAGCATACATTCAAAGATTTTATTGGTCGTCTATAACGCCATCATGACATACCTCCTCTTTATGTGACTAAACTTTATTCCCACCATATTTAAACATTGATAATTCTTCCTTTGCAGCTGCAGAACCAACAATTTGGAAAAAATTACTTAGATAAAAGTAGAGAACTCCCAAACCTGGAAAAGGTGACGGCACCTCAGGAGGTAGCTGTTAGGTTTATTCAATGATGTGTTCATATGAAACACTGTAGGAAGGAGATGCTTCACTCTGTCTTGTGATTCAGTCAAGAGGAGAGAATCCTGTCTCATGACCTGATCAACTGTCCTGTCAGAACAATACTCTATTTTGTAACCATGTGTTATGTTCTGTTAATAAAAGACGACTGCAGGAGGGGGGTCGGAGAAAGAGTTGAAAGTTGGGTTGGGCTCTTTCCTCTCCTGCAGAAGCTGTTGTTGAAAATCCCTTACTGTGTATTCAGTCCTTCTTTTACGAACCTACATTTTCTTAACCTAACAGTAGCGGTCTGCGCCGCTGTTCTGTCCATCTCTGTTATTGTGACTTTGGAGAAGACACTTCACAAGACTTTCCTGCTTTTGGTGGTCAGAAGGCCTGGGGGCAGCCTTGCTTCTCAGTCTGCCCCAGGGTAGCTGTGGCTACAGGGAAGC